AGACATTTTTAAAAAAATAGAGGGCAGTATTTTATTTTGCGCTCTAATGAATATGGATTTTGTTTAAAAACATTGAAGGTAAAATAACACATTAGATGCACCTATATATCAAAAACTAGTATTTACCAATCCCAGAGGCACACCAAAAGTTGCACCATTGTCACCATCCTCTACAGCCAAGTATCAAGGAATATAAATTTAACTGTCTGCACAAGAGAGTTATATGCCCTGCACTTATCGTTTAAATCCACCTAGATTACATATCCTTAGATGCACTTTTGCACTCTATTCTGTGCTGTTTGGTAGATAACTATAAGCTATCTAGGCAACTTTATTAGGAAATAAAAAATAATTCCTTTCATTTACAAATTGTTATAGTATATGCTTTTATAGCATAATTTTTTTATATAAAAAATCAGAGAACAGATGAAACATCTTGGGTTTTCAAACACATGTTCCACCCTGTTCTTGATCTTAAAGCAGACTTTTACACTCAAAAATCAAATTCTACCAATGTATCCCTCTATGTATGATCATTTTTAATAACATAGACATGTCAGGTGTAAAATTTAGTGATTTTGAAATACTTACACTTGCAGAGTATTCACTTCCTGCTTTGAACGGGCAAAATAACTTCAGTTTGCCAAAGCAATGCACACGGGGAAGGTTACATCAGCAGAGCATTGCTGGGAAATCTCATCTCAGTGAAAGGCATTTTCCTCCCTTGAGATGATGTGCATGGTCACATGTCCCAGTCACATGTGCCAGATTTTCAGGAAATAAATGGAGATCTAGTAATCTATCCTTAGTAAACATGGCCACTTTCAGGGGAATGGAGAAGAAAAAAGAAATAAGGTATGCAAAGAATACAAAGCCTGCAAGTATCTAAAAGTGTGTGTTTGTAGATTGTTCATTACTCTACATTTCTAAAGGTGTGTTTGTTGTTATTGTTAAGATATGGGTAAAGGTCCACTTTAACACACATCTAGAAAGACAGAAACTGTTGATAGCAGTTAGTAGGTAATAGTCACATCTTGTGGTGGATCTATTCATTTGTATCATGGAGAATTAAAAATAGTCACTTAATACTTCCTTTTTATACACATTAATAAATCCAAACTTGGGGTATACAGTATAGACAGTTTAGTACATCTTGGAGAAATAACACCACATAACATTATAAACCAGTGTGAAAACTCACAATTCCGCAGGGTCATTTATCGATACTATGTTATCTGGGACCAAAGTACACTTTGGCATGATCTGCTTATTGGCTAGGTTCAGCATCTCGGTATGGCATAAGGAGTGGAAAAATTCCAATGATGTCAAGTGAACAATAGTGTCTGGTTTTGCTGTTGTTTCAACCTGCCAGAACACTGGCTGAAGCAAAAAAAAGCAGTGGAGCGACAAAGCAATGATGAGCAGGGAATGGTCCTTATTTTATGAAGGAAGACACATAGTGTAGATCAGCCATAACATTATGACCACTAAGAGGAGAATAACATTGAATAGCTCCTTACAATGGAATCTGGAAGTGGGTGGACAGCAAGTGAACATTTTATCCCTAAAGTTGATGTGTTGGAAGCAGAAAAAAATAGGCAAGCATAAGGATTTGAGCGACTTTGACAAGGGCCAAATGTTCCCAGTCTGCAGTGGGCATGACCTATCAAAAGTGGTTCATTCTGAATTAATAATTAATTCAGATGAATATTGGCATATTTGGATGTATTCAGATATTTTCGGACATACATACATATTTCTGAATGTAAAAAAATAACGAATTTAAATGAATATGAATTTTGCGCTACCGAAAATGTGGATGTATCTGAATTTTAGGAAATGAACTGAGAGGTGTTAGACAATCCCTACGCTGTTTTTTAAAAAAAATAATTGTAAATAACTCAATCCAAATAGATCCAAAATCGAAATATCGGATCCGATAACGAGAATAAAAAAATCAAATGGATCTGAAATTAATACAAAACAAATTTTCTGGTAGCTTACATGTCTAGTTCAAGGAAGGAAAATGGGTGAACCAGCAACAGGGTCCTGGGCAGCCAAGGCTCATTGATACACATTGGGAGCAAAGGCTGGCCCGTGTAATCAAATTCAATAGAAGAGCTACTGTAACTCAAATTGCTGAAAAAGTTAATGCTGGTTCCAATAGAAAGGTGTCTGAACACACAGTGCATTGCAGTTTGTTGCATATGGGGCTGCGTAGCCGCAGAGCAGTCAGGGTGACCATGCTGAGCCCTGTTTATCGTCAAAAGCACCTACAATGGGCATGTGAGAATCAGAACTGGACCACAGAGCAATGAAAATACATGGTGTGACGTACGCCCGGCCCAAACCCGCTGTACGTCGATCACCCATGACTATACACAGTTCTGAACTGAGCGTGGCATCACAAGGACGTGGCAATACCACTCTCAGCCTCACCCTGCACAGACATTTCCCAGCTCACAGGACACAATCCAGGGCCAGCAGACTGAGAGCAATTATCAACAGGGTTGGGTAACTCCGCAGTTAACCTTTTACCCACAAACGCAAACGTTTGCTGCCACCATGTGTTTTTCAACTTGTCTACTGGTGACAGATGAATGCCTGATGACATGCATTTAATTAGAGACAGCTATAAAAGGTTTAGATGGTAATTTGGGACTTTCACTAGTGCTGAGGCAATAAAGATCACAGGCCAGATAAGCAGATCTCTGTTCTGTGGCATGTGAAGTGACCTGCAGATGACTAAATGAAGGTCTGCATTTTCTCTGAACTGGGTGACAAGAGAATACTATATTTAATATTCTTAGACTCAAACCCCATTATTGTCACACATGGCTGGTTCGATGAATTATGTTTTCTTATACATCGTGTTGATGGCCGTGTGCATGTGCAAAGCTTACCTGAGGAAGAGATGCCACTAGGATGCAATGGCACTCTGAGAAGAAGGCAAGCCAGCGGAGGCGGTGTGAAGGTTTTGGCAATGCCCTTCTGGGAAACATTGGGTCCTGCCATTCATGTGGATGTTTGCTTTACATGTACCACCTACCTAATCATTGTTGCTGACCAAGTATACCCCTTCATGGAAACGGTATTCCCTGATGGTAGTGTCCTCTTCCAGCAATATAATGCACCCAGTCACACTGCAAACAAGTTCAAGGTGTTCACATGGCCTCCAAATTCTCCAGATCTCAATCCAATCGAGCATCTGTAGGGTGTGTTGGAAATACAAGTCCAATTCATGGAGGCCACACCTTGCAACTTATAGGACTTAAAGGATTTGCTACTAATGGCAGAGGTCTAGTGGAGTCCATTGAAAGTTGGCACCCACTAGTGTAGACCAGTGGTGGTCATTTTACTTGATATAGGTGGTCTCAAATGCGGACCTTACATCACCAAATGGCCGCACATAATTTCCAGTGAATGTAATGCTATAAAAGCTGTCAGAGACTGAAGATATACAACAGCAGATGGTCAGAGATTACAGGCAACATCATCTAAAGAATATTTCCCTTACAGTGACTTTTTTTAAAAATATTTCTACTACTGTTGCAAACACTTAAACTCTGTGCTGCTTCTCTGTGTGCTAAAGTTTTCCTTTCCTCTCGAGTCAGCTGGTACATAGCTCTGACTCTGCTTTCCAGTGGAAGGGTGGCCTCTTCGCTCCTTGGCTAGCAGGGTGCTATGGAGCCACCTATTCATGCATGCTCCTGTGACTACAGGCTATTGTAAGGACATTGCCTGCACTCACAAGCACAGGCAGTCACTGAGCATTGGACACATAAGACACTATTCCAAAGTGGAAGTAATTGAAAGCAGCTTGTAAGTACCATGCATGCCTGATGCCACTTTGAAGTATGGCACATGTAGTCCTCAGAAGGGAAATAATATGGCTGGAAAAACAAATAATGAATGAGCACTTCCTGACCGGAGGTTTAAGAACCCAAAGCTGCAGCTGTAATAAAATATTAAAACGTGATTCAGGACTTATTTTTGATGGAAACATATATTGTGTTGTGCTGAATTTGTCTATTTTTGTCCAATTTATATATGTATTAAAAAAAAAACAACAGAGCCCTTAGTACCACTTTAACTGGCCTGTATATGACCCAGGTAAGACTACTGTCACACAACAAGTCCCAAAGGGCTACATGCAGCCCCAGGCTGCAGGTTGGATACTTCTTTGCTTTTTTATAAAAGCTAAAAAGTATCAAAAGCTTATATGATTCGTCTGTTTAACAAAGAGAAAGTCTTACCTCCAAGCTGTAGTGTCAGCCACACATTCATTATTCATGGAAGTTAGGAAGAATAAGTATAAAGTACATTGTAAAGGGGTGATATTGTTCATGTCATAACATACTCTAGGGATAAATATAATCACCTCTTTAGGGGACTTAGTAATTTGCATGTTTCCTGATCAGCTGTCACTGTTTGGGCTCAAATTGCATATACTCCTCACTTTATTGCTCTGGTATGTAAAGATGTTCTTGCTATACTCACTGAGTGCATTGCTCAGCTGGACAAAGTGAGGGGTAAACTAATAATAATATGCTGCTGTATACCTGCCAGTCAGCAGCTCCCCTGCTGTGTATGACTTCTCTTCTTCTTTGGTCGTTACCTGTGCACAATCCTTGACTTGACTTATGCAATAGAATAAGATGGAATCAGTGTTAGGCTGTGTGGCTGTTGTTAGAGTACTCCTTCAGGAGATAAGCTGGGTCTGAGCTGCAGTCAGCAAGTGCTGGGACCTAATGTTGTTGCACTCCACTGCATTGAGGCAATGATTTGCAATTACTATGGTTATTCCCCCAAAAAGGGTATAAAATGAATTTCAGTACAGCGCTGCATGACGAAATAAATGTCAGTCAAAGTACCGCAGCGCTGAATACTGAAAAATGGCCTGGATGGGAAGGGGGTTTAACACCGCGGATGTCAACTGGTTAAACCATCTTTTGCCAACTACATACTGTTTACTTTATTTAGTATATATCCAATTACAGGTGGCAGGACTTCTATCAGCTATAATTGTTATGATTGTCACCTTGGCTATCGGATTCCTTCTGCAACCATTACAAAAGGTGAGTTTTAATCTTTAACCTTAAAAATTATATAACAATCACCTTTTTTTACAGGTTTTAACATAAATCTTGATGACAAAAGCTTAAAAATTTAACGGGTCAGCTTATGGCATTTTGAAAGAATGTGTAACAAAAGCTGTAAGAATCAGAAACTGTGATCAAGCTGCTGTGATATACTGTATATTGTATATTCATGCTTTATAATACTACTAAAAATAATACAATAATACACACATATTTAGTAACTGCCTCTACCTTATTCACAACCCACCACAAATGGAGAAAAAGTTCTGCCAGGCCACTGTTCACATATAATGTGGCCGATTGACAAAACCAGAGCAAGCATAAATGAACTATGGAGCATTTGCCTAAAGCAGCTAGTCAGATTGCTTCCATCTTTTTTTTTTGTGAATTAAAGATGAAACCTGACAGGTGGCTATTAAGTCAGCTCTTCCATAATATATAACTGCATCTTAATCCCCTTTTTACTCATCAGACTGAGGGATTTTAAAAGCATTATAATGCCTAAAATGTAGGAACTGCGAACTAAAGTATTTACATATTCTTAACAAACAGGGAAAGTCAACTTTAAAACAAGGACTCATTTACCCCTGTGTCTATTGTCATTGTGGAGAAATTCATTTTTGAAGTTCAGGGGCACTGTTATGTTTATGTTAAGGATGAGGAGAAAAGGCCAATGTTGTGTTCTTTTGTTGTTGTATCAAATAAAATAGTTGTACATGCATAAATAAACAGTCTTCTGTGTACAGCTTTTCATAGGTCACTAGGTCTAAGTCAATGTAAATATTCATGAACATTCATAGGATTGTTACTGGCACATCATACTATGACTTCCAATACAGTCTTCTAATTGGTTGGAGATTATCACATGGTGTTCAGTGTTCAGAAAGTTGAGGCCATGATGATAAACTAGGAGAAAACTATATAATATCTGCTATTAATCATATCCTATATGCTGCATCCTTAGCTAGAGACGTTACTTTGGGCTTGAATCTATTGCTACTTTGAGTGCACAGTTTAATCCAACCTTAACAGGTACATCTTCTTTGCAGTCTGTGCTTTCCGCATTGGTCGTGATTAACTTGAAGGGAATGTTGATGCAGTTTAATGAAATACCTAATTTGTTTCGCAAGGACAAATATGATTGTGTAAGTAATACATTTTAGTGTCAAGTCTTTGTTCTGACGTATGTTTTTTTTTTTTATTATTATTGATGTTCTAACCAAATTGTGCAATTTCCATGTACCAGGGTGAATAATTATTGAAAGAGTAATAGCGTATTTGCAGGAAACTGTTTTGTCTGCTGCCAGAATAGAAAACTGATAGTTTGCACTGTGTGATTTTCACTAAGTTCAAAGTCTTGTAAGTGCCATAATAAAGTAGGAGTCCATAGATATTCCGACTCTATAAATTGCCTTCTTGGGCTAATTTAGATAGCATATCTTACACGGTTACAGCAACAACAGTACATCAAAGAACTTTAACAATGTAAATAATTATCAAGAAGCTCAAGAAGGCTTTGGCTTAATATGTGATTTTATCGAAGCTGCCGTCTTTAAAGTGGACTTTCCTTTGAAAAGTGGACATTTTTTGACTTAGGCCCCTCTGTGTGGTCAGGTCCCCATCCTTTACAGCACCCCAGTGAACATAACTGGGCTTCAGTCCCATTTTTGCCCACAATAATGGAAGACTGGAGTAAAACAAGTAAGACAAGTATTTAGATATACTTCTTTGTACAGCAATAATAGCCGTGCGACACAGCTAATGAAACCCATAACTGAAATATTAGGCCCATTAAAAACAGGAGCTGTGGGAGGGAAAATGGCAGAATGGTACTACTTGGAGAGGTGCCAGGATAATTAGGGTTTTGAAGTTTACCTTGAAATCCTTTATATGGATAATATAGTCCAAACAAAGAGCCCATCCAATTACATCTTCCCAATTTCACCTATAAGAGAAATATTGCATTATAACCCAGTCTTTAAAGATAAAGGTGCATAGGTAGCTCTAAAATATATCTTCTAAACAAATGTACAAAGTACCCAGTGCTGTTTTATGAGAGGGTTATGCAACAATGCTGCTTGTTGAACCTCACTCAGTTCCAATGATGCTGTGTTCAGGGCAATGTCCCGTGATCACAGTTAGACCCCTATTTAAGTTACTGTGCATTCATTACAGTGATCAGGGGCCGAAAGTGGGCAGTCCCCGGCTAATTAGAATTTGGGCAATCCTCAGCTGGAATGTGGGTGGGGTTTCCAGTGTCTCAGGGAACTGGATATGTTGGTAGGTATATAAGTACTATACATAAACAGTGTGCACATAATTATATATTTCTTCTATTTGGCACATCCATATATTTATAGAGGCTAAAAACTTTGCATAAGCTGACCAGCAGTTTGAAATCTATTTGGTTGCTATGGCCTAGTGTAAATTGGGGGTCAGAATTTGAAGGGATTTTTTTGAACTATATATAT